CACAATTCAAAGGCCTCAATCCTTTGAATTGTGGTGCTGGAGGAGACTCCTGCAAGTCCCTTGGACCGCAAGACGATCAAACCGGTCAGTCCTAGAGGAGATCAACCCTGACTGCCCTTCAGAAGGCCAGATATTGAAGAGGAAACTCAAATACTTTGGCCACCTAATGAGAAGGAAGGACTCCCTGGAGAAGAGCCTAATGCTGGGAGCAATAGGTGGCAAAAGAAGGAGGGGATGGCAGAGGATGAGGTGGCTGGATGGAGTCACTGAAGCAGCTGGTGTGAGCTTAAGTGGACTCTGGGGGATGGTGGAGAACAGGAAGGCCTGGAGGAATGTTGTCCATGGGGTTGCAAAGAGTCTGACATGACTTTGTGACTGAACAGCAGCAACAACATGCAGTGGAATAACGCTTTCATTAACTTTTCTTCAGCAGGATACTTCGCTAAAAGCTTCTCTTTGGAGTTACAGATGTATGAATGTTCATGTGTGAAAATGGGTGAATTGACTGGACCATGCAGAGTTCTCCAAATGATCAGATATGTTGCATGGCTTGTGCACACATCCCTTGTAGATCTGATCCTACATGGAGTTATGATGCCTTGCATTTCAGGATCGCCCTATTTCATTTCCATCTGTATCTAAAGCTTTGCACAATTTGCTTGGCTGATTGATAAAGGAGAGGCAGGGAATTTCCCACTGATCAGAAATAAGCCATTTTTCTCTTCTTCCTCTTATATTGCAAATTAGGCTTTAAAAAACGCCTCCAGTGCTGACATAGTATATCGTAATTTAAATTTGGGGTTAGTGGGGGCCAGTGCCGGGGAGGAGAGGGCTATGCTCCTACCCCAACCCGAGGCACACCTCCCCTCCATCTTGCTTCCCCTCTGGTGTCAATGGAGGCTTTTTAAATGCCCAATTACAGTGTGCGGGATGGTTTGGGCCACATGCCACCGAAGAGGTGAGTGGAAGAGTCATTTTTTCCTTCCCCAGGGCTGGCACTCCCCCAAAAGCCCCCTCCCTCTCTGTGGCCTGGCTTTTCAAGTCCCCCATTGCCTGGTTGTGGCTGAGAAACACTTTCTGTGAATACACGTGTGGGGAAGTCTGTGTGCATACATAGACAGTGATATGAGTGTGTGTCACTGAACTGGGTCTGGACAATCACACTGAGGGCACATGCCTGCTGCAGGGGTGTCCCACTGAATTTGGGGTGCAGCTTCACTTTGGGTGCCATGCTTGGTCAGCATCACTTCGGCCCTTGGGCAGAAAATGTTCTCTTTCCTGGGTTGAAGATGCTGTCTTTGTATAATCATATTTACAACTTCATTTGGGGACAGCCCTTATTCTTTTCTTGGGCCCCAGCGCTGTCCTTCTTTGGGTCCCATCCAAGCTTCATGACTTTCTGCGAGGAACCATTGGCGAATGGTCCTTCAGCGCAAATCTGGTCCCCCAGAGAGACAAGAAGCCTCTGAGGAGGGGATGGATGGGTTTGGCCATTGGTTTGCCATTGGTCTGTTTGAAGAGGCAGTCTGGCCAATCACCTTCCAGCTTCCCCTCCAACAAGGTTGCTGTCCCATTATTAGCTAATTTCCCTTTTTATGGCTTCTGTTCTGCAGGATCAGCAAAGAAAGGGAGTGATCGTTGCCTCGGACAGCAGCTTCTCCATGGCCGTGGCCTATCACGCTTCGGAGCACCAAATCCCCGTGTTTGTCATCATGTCCACTGGCACCTCGCCAGCTCAAGTTAAAATGTGCCGGGATTACGGTGCCATGGTCATCTCCTACGGTTCCACAGTGAGAGACTCCCAGCTTCACGCCAAGAGGCTGGCCCAAGAAAACGGCTACCTGTACCTGGAAGAGTAAGCGGATATTTAGTGTAAAGCTGGATTCGGTTTAACACAATTGCTTGTAGTTGCATGGGTATTTGGCCTTGCTGTTTCAGTCCATGGCTGTTACATGTGGCTATTGCAAATTGGTCGGAAGCAGTCTGGGGGCTTCTGCCCCCGCTTTGTGGGATCGGCTTTGCCAGCCAGCTGGCTTAGCCTGCAGTCCACCCAGATCTGGGCTCAAGCTGGGCTTCCAGAAGAATGAAATGTGGTGCTCTGACTCCAAATACAAAGGGAGGGAAGCTTTTTGTGTTTGTGTTTCTCTGAGTGGAAAATATAATGCATGTATTGGCCATGCTTTGGGTCACAGTACCGCTGAGATGCCTTGGAATTAGAATATTTTCCTTTCTGCCAGCCACGAGCAAAAAGCAGTAAGTATCTTGCGTGGTTTATCCATTTGATGGAATAAAGAGTTTCCAAATGTATTTTCTACAAAAACCCCATTAATTCATCAGACTGCAGTTTAGTAAACCAGAGAAAATAATCCTTTCTAAGCAGCTCTTTCTGATTTTTCCAGCTCCGATAGAGTTATCCCCGCTTTAAAACTTGTCTTCTCATGTATATTCATAATTTGTTTACTGAACCCATTTTACTAGTTAAAAATTAGGCCTCTTTAAATCCTCCTTGTAGCCTTCAGAGAGGCTTTCCAAGTTTGAATTAAGGTATCAGATTCTGGCTTGAGAGGGTGGAAAGACTTACGCTGTGTTGATCTGCTTTGAATTTGCAAAACAGGCTAAATTGAACGCTGTTGTTTCCTGCAAATTCCTTACTATCCTAAATCCAAAGCTGACTATGCCCTCATACTGGAATGAGGCAGTGGGTGGGGTGGGGGTTCAAAACAATCCAGTTTCTATGGCTTGCATTTATTTATAAGAGCAGAAAGCAAGAGTGGAATAGACATGCCAAGAGCAATACCAAAAGACCCTGGAGCTCTCTGCTGAACTACAGCTGAAGTTTTTGTTGGCTATATACCCATCCAGTTGATCTGTCAACATTTAGAGTAAACCCCAGACGATGCAGACAACTTCCTGAGAGGAAAAAGTTAGACAACGAGCACTTCTGTATCATAGACTTATCCTGATCGGATAATAATTTTGCTTCTGCAGAGAATCTTGAGAATTGTAGTCCGGCAAGGGGATGAGGGATCTCTGAGAGAGAATTCTCAGCGGCCCCATCAAACTAGAACTTGTCGGATGTTATTTTACTCTCTGTTATTATTTATGGGGAACCATACCACTTGAACCAAGTGAGAAATAAAGATATACCCTCTGGTGCCCTTTTATTATTTCAGCCTTGTCTGCTTCCTAAATCAATACAGTAATTGATGTCAGTTCAGATGGTTTGCAAGGAGGGTGGTCTGGGCTAATTTAAGAGTGCGTCTTTGTCACATATGAAGCAAGATCAGCTTTTCCCTCACTTTTCAAGCACTAGGGCTGAAAACAAGTGGGTGCTTTCCGGCATAGCGTACTGGCAAAAAGATGAGCAGTGGAACAAGGATAAATAGTAAGAAGATGTGCATATGAGGGAGAAACTTTTAATGGATTGTATTCTGAGAATCTTGTGAAAGGAGGTGGAATGATTTTTAAAGAAAGGTGCTAGGGCTTTGCCTTGTGTCCTTGAGAGCTGTGTGTACAGCTGCTTGGTGGGGCAGAAAAGGCATTCTGTACATGCTCAGAGGGTCCCTCAGGGCTTCATATAGGGTTCCCATGCTGACCCTCTGCCTAAGGGAAGAGGAGGTGGGCATACATTTCCCAGACCTCACCAGCCTTTCCTCTAAAAACTGTTCTAATTAGGTTCTGGATCAGGTGCATCGGGGGAGAAAAAGAAACCGGACTTTGTTCAATCCTACCAGAATCCCACTTTGCACGAGTGCTGTGCCCCCTCTCAGGGAACTTCTCAAAAAAGAGCGACAGGAGGAAGGAGATGAAGGAAGGAACGTATATAAGCCTTCAAAGAGCTGCAAAACCTCTTTGTTAGTCTGCAGAAAGAAGGGAAATTTGGTTCTGAAAGGCTGAATTGTATTTTTATGACTTTTATGACAGCCAGTCCAGTATAGTGGTTAAGAGCACAGGCCTGGGACTCAGGAGGTCTGGGCTCGAGTCCCCATTCCTCCATGGAGCTCACAGGGTGATTCTGGGGTAGTCACAGACCCTCAGCCCAACCTACCTCACAGGGTTGTTGTTGTGAGGATAAGACTGAGAGGAGGAGAATGATGTAAGCCACCTTGGGTTCCTTGAAAGAAAAAAAGGCAGGATAGAAATATAATTAATAATAAGTATTATTCTGTTTTATTATTGTATTCTTACTGCATTTGATTTGTTGTTGTGAACCCCCAGGGAGCTTTGAATACTGGGCAGTATAGAAATATTATTAATAATATTAATATTATTAATATGATACTAATATTAAGATGAAACTCAAATACTTTGGCCACCTAATGAGAAGGAAGGACTCCCTGGAGAAGAGCCTAATGCTGGGAACAATAGATGGCAAAAGAAGAAGGGGACGGCAGAGAACAAGGTGGCTGGATGGGGTCACTGGGGCAGTGGGTGTGGGCTTGAGTGGACTCCGGGGGATGGTGGAGGACAGGAAGGCCTGGAGGAATGTTGTCCATGGGGTCGCAATGGCTCGGACACAACTTCGCGACTAACAACAACAATATTAATATCATTAATAGTTCTAAATCTGGTGTATATTGTGGTGTCAGAGCCCTCAGTAACACCGCATTGCAACAACACTAGCAGTGCGGGGTTTTCAGACCTTTTTCGGGGTTCTCAGTGCCCTGTACCCCGGAACAGCTTGGCCGTTCATGAACAAAACACACAAAAGCAAGGAATGTGTTCATCCAGCACTCGAAGGCACGGATCCTGCATACTGAAAAGCGTGAAGAGGTTATTCGCATGCCAGGAGTGTATGCAACTGTTTTAACAACAAGCCCGTGAAGGCTGAATCAGGGTTGGATTGTTCTTTCGCAGCGAACCGCCAAGACACCACTCCTTGCTGAAGGGCAAATCTTTTCTTGTGCTTGCTTTTGCAGGGAGGACAGTGCTGCCTATCTGTCTGGGCTGGGGACCATGGGGCTGGAAATCTATGAACAGGTGCCAAAACTGGATGCAGTCATTTTCCCGGCAGGGGCCCACTGTGGGTTACTAGCAGGTTCCGCTGCTGCCCTGAAGCATTTGAACCCACATATTTCTGTAATCGTAAGCATCTGTACAACTTAGCATCTGTGTATGTAGGAAGGCTCTTTGAAAAGTTTCTGCACTTTTTAAAACTCTATTTATTAAGAATTCCAAAACAAATGACATCACTTTGCTACATAGTCACCTTCCTTTGCGATGCATTTTTCCCAGCGTCGTACTAACTTTTTAATGCCGTCAGTTATTAATGATGTATAAATGATATATAAATGTATTTATACAATATAAAAGTGTGGAAACTTTTTGAAGACTCCTCGTATTTTGGAAGTTGCAGTTAGTGCATTTTTCCTGTTGATGGTGCAACTAAATGGACTTATAGATCACAGACAATGAAGCAATTAATTAACAATCATGTGTAAAGCATAACTCTGCATTCCTCTGAAAGCAAGGCAGTGAGAGTGGAGAAAGGTGTAGCGTGTGCATTCCGATGTTCCACTTCGTTCGCATCAGGCGTTTCCAATTTTATGTTCCCTGATTTCATCTGAATGTGGAAACTCGTTCACAAATCCCTTAGAAGCAAAAGGGGCTTCCACTGATCTTTCAGCTGTTGATGCAGATCAGGGTGAAAATGTTTTCAGTCCATAAAAAATGCAACCGTAAATGTTTTCTTTCTTCTTTTTAATAATGGAGATGGAAGTGAGAGTTAAGTGAGGTCTCTCCTCACCTCTAACGCTGCAAGGTAGGACATTCCTCAGAGGGATTCTGTCAGCATCCACATATTTCATGACTTTTATTTGATATTTATTTACTTCTAAGCTGGTCACATGGGAATCCCAGCTCATGACTTTTATGTACTGCGAACGATGCTCCCTTTCTAGAGTTTCCTTTAAACTTAAAAACCAAATCAGCTGTCCATGGTGTAGGTAAGGCTGACCCTCCCATCAGGCAAAAGAACTAAATCAAATCCTTTTTCCAACTGTGTATTGTTACCCAAGGATCAGACTGAACTGCAGAAATAGCCAGCTGCTTTTACAAATGAAAGGTGCAATTAGCTAATGAAAACTTTTTTTAACTCACCAAAGCAACTTGTGAAAACTCAGCTCAGATATGCATACTGCGGGTCAGTGTTGTCTAGGCTGTGCCAGCCACCTGGAGATAAAAGAAACATTTCAGAACCAGAGCTGGGCAGTTCTGAGAGAAGGAAATTCAAACTGACTTACCAGCAGAGGGCCTGACCATGCATGTTCCAGGTGGTTTGAAAGCCACTGTGGTGTGATGATTTGGAGAGCTGGACTGGAGATCCGGGAAAGCTGGGTTGATTTTGGATCAGTCACTCAACTCTCAGCCCAACCTACCTCAGGTGGTTGTTGTTCTGAGGATACAGTGGAGCTAGGCAGGCCACCTTGGGTTCTTTTCAAGAGGAAAAACAGTCAAGAGAGAAATGCAATGTAATAATCATAACTCCTCCATGTACCTTGGACACCATGAGCACAGAATGGAGGTTGTTAGACTGCAGCTTCCATCAGCATAGCCAATGGTGAAGGAAGATAGGAATTGGAGTCCAACCACTATAATGGGTAGCTGTCGGTCCTGAAGGTATTCAGCAATGCAGATTTTGGTATCTAAGAACAGCTGGGGATGTGTTTTGTTCAGAGATATGTCTAGTTCAGGGTACGACCTGTTTGTATGTGAGCTTTGAACTCCAATGCATAACCCACCATCTTCCACCATGTGAAGAGTTTCCTGGAAGACATGCAGAAGTTTCTCAGCATGAGTCAAAGTGGAAGGGATTCCTTGACCATACAAAATCTGGAAACTATTAAGTTAGGTAACCAAAGGAACTAAACCAAGGTCTGGAGATGTCATGGTAAACAGCAACAGAACTCAAATGCTAAACTATAACTCATGTTTGTTTGTTTCTTTCTTTCTTCTCAGGGTGTGGAGTCAGAGACTTTTCCGGTATTGCAGCAATCATTTAAGACTGGCCATGCTTCAGAAGACCAGACTCAAGGCAGTCATCAGTTTTACAGAGGTAAGAGACTTTGGAAAGTCTGTTTATGATGTTTCCTTTCGTGATATACCTCTGCCACAGCATCTGTTCAGATGCCCCTTTAATGTAGATGTGGTATTCTGAGAACTTGCCCCTGGATACAATTTTGCTTACATGTTTTTGCAGAACAGATATGATGAAAAACCACATTTCTAAGTAATATGCACAGTGGCTATTTTCTTGGCTTGTTTGCTTTATTCTGACAATGGGCACAAACACACCCCAATCAAGCCCACAATTATTAAAAAAACAAACAAACTAGGTGTGTTTTGCACGGATGCACAACCTTTTCCGTTCAAAGGGCTGCCCAGATCAAGGTCCATTGGGACAGTGGGCCACAAGCAAGTGTGTGTTGTCTCCCAGACAAGCTTGGCAGCAGATCTCGGTCTTTCAACAACAGACTTTGTTCCATGTCACCACATCAAGGCACCAAAACCTCCTTCTCACCCCAGTCACCCAAAGCAGAGAGAGGGAAAAACTCTATGATTCCTGCCAAAGCACCCCTTTTCTAGAATGGTCCTGGAACACCCCAGGAAGACATGACTTCGTGGATGTCCCAGGAATGGAGCTGCTGGGGCAGAAATGACGGTGCCTCTTCCGAGAGTGTTGTTCTCCCTTCCTCTTCTTTTTTGCTAGTGGCAGAAACTGAGACTCTGGAGGTGGCTAGAACAGGCTTGAGGTGCTGAGCTGTGGCCCAAACATTTTTCACTTCTGCTCTAGTATAATGTAAAACATGAGATTCTTTTAAGGATTATTGTTTGAACTTGGCTATGTTGCATGGGACCAGGATCTGAAATCTGTAACAACCTCCACTGTTAATTCCTATAGGATCCTACCGACCTGGGCAATGGCCATTCTTCCCTGACCTATTGCAAAATATTGCCTGTTAAACAAGAGCTCCCCATTTCTGGTCATTTACTCACATGCAGTATTTCACTCCTCACCTGCTTCAGTTAAGTTGGAAAGTAACTGACCCGATGCCTTTTGCATGACTCTCCGAGTAAAAAAATGAAAAAGACAGTGGGAGAGGAGGCTGAAATGTCATGGAACAATCGTTCTATTTACTGGAGAAAAATGTGTGGATTGTGAAGCAGAACAGGAGGAGAATGTTTCACTTCAATTCCCCATCTTTGTGAGGGTCAGTTATAATGCTTAGATTCACAAGAGGGTTGAGGAAAGCTCCTAAGCTCTAGAAATATCCATCCTGATAACAAGCTTTTCTATTGTGGGCTCGTTCTGTGGTTGTTTGTGAGTCATGACAATTAGACAACACTGTGACCCTTCAGTTTTACTTCTGTGTATAAACAGCACTTTCAGTGAACTTCTTTTAGAGTAGGAAAAATAAGGTATTATTTCTGAGAGAGGAAGAAAAGTCTTTCGATACATATTTGCAGGTTCTGCTACACCACAGTGCCACCTAGAGGTTATGTGGTGGAAAAGCAAGAAAGGAAACAAATCGGAGTTCTGCAGAAAAACAAAGGACATGGAGCAGATTAGCAGCTTTTTGTAGAAAAGCCCAGAGGGGAAGAAGAATGAAGAGAGAAAGACTGCTGATCCCTTTATCCTTTACTTCTATTTGGGGTAAAACCACCCCTTTTCCCACAAGGGGGAAAAGACAGAAGGTTATTGTAGCTTTTCCATAGTTTTCTCAACAATGGATGCGAGGAGGGGAGCAGCTTGAAGGAATTGAATTTAAGCTGGAAAAGTTCTGGAGGTACAGGGATTCTGCTTAACTAGGTCAGCTCAGTCTCAAAGGCTGCCTACCACAGGGCTGCTTTCAATTAAAAACAAAAAGAAACAAACATAAAATGAAGGGAAGGCTAAGAAACTCTGCACAGCATTCCCTTGGACTTAAGCCTCATGATGTCGTAACATTTTATTTACACGTTAAGTGGCTTTGCAGCTCTCAGGATGATGGATCTGCCCATCGGTTGGGCTAATCCATCCTACTTCCCAGAAGCACTCCCTCAATCCTGCATCTGTTGTTCCTTCATGTGTTTGTTTTATGGCAGTGATTTAAGCTTATAAACAGTAAATTCCACAGTGAACTACTCTTGCTGTAGATACATGTAAGCCACATTTCCTAAATAATTATTCTACATTGAAGCCAGAGTCCTAGAGCCAATGGTTTGGCTGGCTGTTTCAAATCCATGTGTAAGCTTTGGTCCTTCTCACCTCTTTAGTTCCTGGCCATGAACACCTCCCAGGGGATGGATTCTCTCTCCTAGTTTCCTCCTCTCGATTCCTTCTTCTAATCTGCTTCTCAGGACACCCTGTGCCCTTATTTCCTTGGCTAATGCACAGCCTGGGCTGCTGCCTTGTTTTCCTAATCCTCTGCTTTTTCCACACCTCTTTTGCTGGCTCCTTCTCTAGTCCTGAGTCGATCAGATGAGAATAACTAGGAACTCTTCCCTCTGTGCCCAAAACTCTGTGCTGGTGGCTTACTACCATGCCAATGACCCTTTGTGGGACTTTCTAGGAGATGCCTGCCAGCCCCCAAACTTGGAGACTTATGGCCTTCCTAGGCAGCCTGAGAGGAACAGTGCAAGAGATCTTCTCAACCTCCCATTTGACATTTGCACATGGCTTTTTAAAAAGTCATAAAAATACAATGGCAGGCTTTTTGGCTTGTAGGAATGTCCCAGGAGTATGGTCCAATTCTACAGCAAGGTACCTTGCTTTAGAACTGAAGAGCATCAGGAAACATGCAACCCCTAGAGTCAAAGATGATGAACGGTTTAGTGAATACATGCGTTCATGGAATATGGATGCAAATCATCCATCGGCAAGCAAAGCTCTCATGCCCCCCTCCAGGAACTGCAGGGCTTCCTGGTATGACAGGAGGTCAATCCAGGGCAAGAGGGTACTTGGGTGGTTCCCGGCTCCCCTGCACCTTTCTCGCAGCGTCTAGCGTATTGCTATTGGTTGCTTGGATGGCTCCTTTCAAGGCCAGTCCATGCTCATTCCTCCCCATAAAACACACCACTTCCACACCACGGGCCTCTCCAGTCTCCTCCCTGGTCCCCCTTCTCCCTCTCCAAGGCTACTTCCCTAGCAGTGCTTCCTGTACTGGCTGAGAGGGGTCCGGGGTCACAGATCAAGACTGAGTCATGGTCCTGGGTGTGCTTCTTTCCATATGCTCTAGAATCTCTGTGTTGGGACATTAATATTAGTATTGTTGGGAATATTCAGCTACATCTTGGCAGGATAACGTTGCTTATATGTGCCTTTGTGTTATACAATCAAAAACAAATAAAATAACTCATTTCTCAGAAGGCACCCCAATGCCAAGGCAGGTTCCGGTTTAGCATTTGCTGTTACTTTAAGAAGTGGAAACAGATGGCTTGCCTAGAGGCTGCCAGGGCGGTTGTTTTGCTGATCAGTAAGAACTGATAGGGCTGCCAGGTTAACAGCATTGCAACCCCCCTCATTTGCATGCCAAGACCCACAAGAATCCCTGTGCCTCAGTGACCTTTATGTTAATCTCCTGCAATCAAATGCTATTGTACTGAGCCCCCTCTGCAGACCTCTCACCTTCTCCTGACTGTGTTCCCCTTATTTTGTCCTCAATGGCCCATGTGACTCAGAATCTATAAAACACTCTGTTGCATGTTCTAAAAACTGGTAGATGATGGTGGAGACCGCTGCCCAGTAGCATGCTGTTGTGAGTAACTGCAGGGATTCCTCAGTGATCTTTCCATAAACTGCTGAGGTTCAAAGCAAAAGAGCTCAATAATGGGATGGTATATAAAAGCAAGCAAGCAAGCAAGCAAGCAAGCAATGAATAAAGGATCTTTCCTTTCTGAACCCGGGTAACCTTTCTCGCAGCTGCTATTGAGGCACCCTGATAGTATTTTGCATGGATAGGCTGCCCATTTTTCTCTTGTGAAAGAACCAAGACACTTACAAGGTTCTCGTCCTCTCCATTCATCCCCACAGTAGCAACCCTGTGAGGTGGGCTGAGCTGAGAGTCTGTGACTGGCCTGAAGTCGCCCAGTTGGCTCCATGGCTGAGCAGAGACTTGAACCCAGATCTCCTGAGTCCCAGTTCCACACTCTTAACCACTACACCACTCTGGCTGTCTCCTAAGGACACCTCTGCTTGTAGAAAGGTGTGGACCAGGGATGGGCAGGCGGCCTCCCAGATCTGGGGACCCAAGTGAAAGATTCAGGGGGCCAGCCCTGGCCGGCTGCTCACTCACACCACCCCTGCGGGACACCGTCCACCGGGCTTGGATTGCTCCCTCGCTGGGGTAGAATATAGTGCAAAATGGTCAAATACAGCAATGGCTTTATTCGTCCTTACAACTAGTGAGGCAAATAGACAACTAATTTTTTTTACTTGCCACTTCTACCTACAGAAGTAAGTGGACCCTGTTTTGGTACGAATTCTTTGCAGCTGACGGGGAAATTTGTCGATAAGGTTGTAACAGTGAGGTAAGTACAGGAAATGCATAATTCTGTGAGAATAGCTACCCAGTGCGGCGTCTTTTAAGAGCACCTCCAGGTGATTCTATGGGCCAACTTGCCACCTAGTTTTCTAGCTCGGTCACAAAAAAAGCATCTGATTTGAAAAGCAGAAAGCGCTTCTGTGGTACAGATTGCACAAAGGTGACCTGTGGGTGGCAGGATGCCAATAGCCAGAAATAGTTCTGTGGTGAGAACAGCAAAGGATTTACTTAAGCGTCATAAGTCAACGTGGGACTTGGAAGGGACTTGGAATATTAGGACTTGGAGGCATGGGCCCTACTGGGCACAGTTAAATCCCCAAATTTCCTCTTTCTGTGTTTCCTGCAGAAAAATCTGGCCATTTTAAACATGTGCATTGGTGTTGGCAATTGATGGCACCAGTTGTGTGCTTTGTCTTTTTTGACTTCTTGTATTTAACTCTGAATTGTGAATCAGTACTCACAGCTGGGGCTGGAAGTTTTTTCCCAGTATTTCTGATCACCAGAGGCTGGACATATGGAGAACTTGGTTGCAGACTCCACTGGTCCATGTGAATGACTTTCTTCAGAAAGTGCTAGAGTTTCTTAAGAGAAAAAGAAAAAAGGGGGGGGCAGATTTATCTCTTTCTGTTATATCCTTCTGGTTGTATTACAAAGTATTCTGGATGGGCCCTTGGAGTATTTTCTTACATGCAGCCTGACATGTGTATCATGGGATGAAGTACAAAGATTGATACAAGTGTGGAGAACTTCATATAAATGTCTGATTGTAGTCCAAAGGGTTTTTTTCTACCTAAGATACATGTGGAAATAGCTCATCAGCTTGTTTTTATGCAGTGCTTGAGCTATTTCATCCAGTTAATCAGAACACTAAAGGAATTCCATCATATAAAGCCCCCTTTCCCTTACAGCATTTAGTTAAATGGATTTTAAATTAGCTTTTTTCCAGGCAGATGCTAGAATTCAAGGTTAGTTCGGGCGATGGTGCCAGTTGGTGCTTGAAGCGTGGAGAGAGGGCTCATACTAGAACTAGAATTTCTGCAAGGGCTGCATGGAAGGGTCTCTCACGGAAAGTTCTCTTGTGTCTGCCTCTTGGCACCTTTTTGGCCTTTCTACCTGTGGACTTCCTTGCGCTCACTGTCCAGAGCCCTGTTTTTTTTTCCAGAACGTATTGAATCTGATTGTCTGTGGCAAGCTATGACATCATAGTCATATGTGACAACAGCATTCTGTGACATCATGGACAAAGTAATGGGTCACCATAGCGCACAGGATTAAGAGGTGGTGATATGGGCAGCTGGGCCCAGGAACTACGAAGGAAATGAAAGAGGGGACAGCAGAACTCATACGAACACAGGAGAAGCTCTGCTGGATCAGACCAATGCCCTATCACAGGGTTGGCCAAAGCAAGGCTCAGGTGCCGCATGCGGCTCCTTGAGTTCGTTCCAAAGAGGGAGCGGGAGAGAAATAGAAACAGTGAGTGCTCTGTGTCATTCAGAAAAAAGAAACCAGAAGTGACCGGTTCTGGCTCAGTCTCATTTTGACATCAGCGCAATCCCTCTGAATCTCGTGAGATGCATGTGTGCTTCAGGAAGCCCTCTTTGCTGACACCGTTCTTCTCACTGCTCAGAGAAGCAGACATTCTGCTTTCCATGCTGAGGCTGCTGGAATACGAGCGGGCTACTGTGGACGCGGAAGGAGCCATCGGGCTTGCAGCCCTCGTCGCCGGGAAGCTTCCGGAGTTAAAGGGTAAAAGGTACAGAAACGCCGAAGCAGCTAGCAAAGGGAAAGAGAGCTAGCAGCACGTCTTGGGTGCAAAGGGGACCATGTATGCACTCCGTTTCCCATCTGGGATCCCAAATGATGCACTACCTTTGGGCAGGACACATCCAGAATGAAAAGACCATTGGCCTCCAAGCCATTAGGAGAAGACCTTGCTGCTCTGTGTGGCTTCTTCTCTTGGTGTCAGTGGAGCAAGGTGGGCTGATTCAGCCTGGGGCAGGTTTCAGGACAGGTTCCATAAAATCTCGTTCATGCTGGCGCCATTTACCTGGCATTTAACCCTTCCCACGAGGATTTTCCTCATGCCTTCTGACATATTCCATAACACAACACAAGGTGATGCTCCAGTACAGAGCAGAATTGCAACCTTCTCTAGGTTTCTGTAGTGAATGTTGGTGGCATGCAGGAACATGGCTGCCTTTCCTTCTCCTGAAAAAAGCAGTGGAAGACACAGGGGAGGGGGTGGCTGGAGGATGAGGGTGGATGAAAAGGACCTGCTGGCTTCCATGGGTGAGGGCCCATGGGCGCACAGCCATGGGCCCTTCGAGAGAAGCCCTGGGCCTACCTGGAGGAGGGCTCCATCTGTGGTTGGCACCTTTCCTGGTGCAGAACTGCAGCATGGTGGGACTCCCCCTCCTGGGGTAGGCTAGAGGGGCTGCCCCCGGTGTCCCTTCTAGGGAACCTGAGGGAGGAACTGCCAGTGCAAGAGTGGCCCTCACTGGCTTTATTACTGCAGGTCTTCTCTAAACAGCAACGATGGCAAACCACCCGATTGCCAGCTCTGCATGCACAAGGGACAGCGAGGGGGAACCATCGCCCCATCTTAGTCATGTACTAGAGTGCAGTCCGTACCGTTTGCCCTCCTGCCTGTACATCCCTCCTGCTTGATTCTCATAGCTCAGCACCCAGGAGCCACTTCAAAGGAAAGGAAACCAAGAACTGGCTTTTATTGGCAGGGAGATATGGAAACCCATCTCATACGACTTTTACTTTGGATATTTGGTAGAAGAGAAGCCTAGTGGTTGGTTGAAGGAGGCACCATCCAGCATCTTCAGATGGATGGCCATGCCAGTAGAAGAGTTTCCCTTGTGCAGAGGAACATCTGGCGATCTCTTTCTGTGTCCTTCCCCTTCCAGAGTAGCTGTTGCCGTCTGCAGTGGCAACCTGGAGCTACCGTTGATGAGGCAGTGCATGGACCGTGCGCTCACCCTTGATAACAGAGTTTGCAAGTTCTCCATCCTGATCTCGGACTGTCCAGGAGATCTTTCAAAGCTGCTGGAGATCTTGGCTCGGGAGGAAGCCAGGTATTCAAGAACAACATGGACAGGGAGCTCAGAAAACCACCTGCTGGCATGCCTCTTCTAGTTCATGTCTCTGAGAAACGTTGTGCCCAGAGAAGCAAGAAAGAACAGAGGAATGCATTTATTTTATGGGACAAATTGCTCTTTTGTCTCTCTCAAGGTGGCCTGTAGCATGTTGATAGAAAAGCAGTAGCTGACACATTTTTTTGAAATGCTTCGATCCAGTGAAGGGCGTTTAAAAAAATAGTTTTGGGAAAATAACAGCAACAATAAATTAAAGCAAGAGGAACAGTGGCAGTCTGGAGCCACGATCAGAAATGGCAGCCGCCACCGCTTCCTGTGGCACAGTCTAGTGGAACTGTGTGGAGAAGTCCTTCCCTCGATCTATCATGAACCTCCCATGGGCTGACCTCAGATCAGAGTGTCTCCCTCTCCACTTTGTCTGCACCACGCATTATTTTAAACACCTCCATCATGTCTCCCCTTCCTTGCTCCCTTGCCTGGTGAAGGAGGCAACCCATGGCCAGCGAGGCCAGTAGCCACCAACAGCCTCCCCCTCTTGAATCCGTCCAATCCACTTTTTAACCCATCCAAATCGCTGGCCATCCCCAGTTTGGAGCTGCTCTCCATTTAGTGCTAGGAGGGCTGCGGTCAGTTGCGACCTTCAGGAACAGGAGCAGGTGGGCCATCTTTAAGGAAGACAATGCAGAAAGCAGCTCGGGGACAGACTTGCCTCAAAGTCCTCTAAATCCCACCATCCTTTCTCCTAACTCCCCGCTCGAAAGAGATTCCTCTCAACAAGCAGGCAGGGTCTTCCATGATCCAACCTGTTCCAATCTCATACACCATGCCTTTCTTCCAGAGTCCTAGACATCAGCCGAGAACACCTGTACAAGACATCAGACCTATTCACCAGCGAGGTAAGGAAAACCCCACCGTTGCACCCCCTTCCAGCCGTTCTTGAGCAGTCTGAGTTCGCACAGATCCCCCATGTCTAGCTGTCCGCATAAGCCAAGTATCACCTAATGCAGAATTCCCCCTCCCGGAGATCTCCCGAAAAAACTGCCACCATCTCCACTCGGCACACCAAGGCTCCTCAGCGGGGGAGGACCTTCCTCTGTCCACACGGGCCTAGCAGTGCACCTTAAATGGGTGGTGACTGAACATCCATTTAAGGTGCACTGGGTGATTTGGGCGATGTATGTGGCTCCAAGCCTTCCTTTCTCGTTGCCCATGTACAAAAGTCTGAATTCATGAGCCAACTTTTCCTTGGACATTATACATTCGCCCATGGAAATCGGGGCATTTCCTGGCTCACGTGGATGGTTGGAGCAACTCCAACGAGGTGGCTTTGTTTTCCTTTGCAAACCATTTATTCAAAAGGGATTAAGTTATTTTGGCCAGCTCTGGACCATTTTAACCATTCCCACTGGTCTAATTTTATTCTGTTGGTAGAATGCCATACAAGAATATTTATGGCTGAATTCTCAATTGGTTCCAGATTTCTGGAGCTTTTATAGCCAGCAGGGATACATACAATATATTAAAACATACGTGGGAAATTCATTTGGCTTGCTAGAAAATAGATGGACTTTACGGATAAGTACCTGGTTTCATGAGAAGCAGACTTTCTTTTCTAAAGGCATAACTTGTTGGGGGGAAAAAAACTTAGGTTCTGTGCTGGACACCACATAGTACAACACTATTAAATCATCATGGTACTTTGAACACTACCCTAGAAAAACTAACATTCTGTTTCCAAAAGATCTGCATTCTGCAGCAAAGAAAAACTGTATGCTAACCCTTGTGTAAATTATGCAAACTGAGCAAATGTGCATAATTTCTCATAGTGAACATAACATCATGTAATTCACATGCTCTTCTGTATATTTTCAAAGCCATATGGACTTGAAACTTGCTTTTTAAAAAGAGTAAATTAAGGCTTTCAGAAAATGCTATTTTGTACCCAATAGAGCCTTCTGTGCTTTTGTTGAGCTTTTACAACAAAACTATTCCAGGGGGGACCCAAAAAACCCCAGGAATTATATTCTGGCCTATTTCATGATGGCTGATGTCCATGAACAACCTGCGGTGGTGAAATTTTGTTCAGCTGAGTCTTTAGCAGTTTTTGACCAAAAATGGCATGACCCTTGTGCCCCACTCTCCCTATTCACCCAGTCTCACCCCATGCGACTTTTTTGTTTGTTTTCCCGGATGAAAAAAGTCCTCAAAGGGAACCACTTTGCCAATGTGCAAGAGGTGAAACGAAAAACAGCAGAAGCATCAAAATCAACAAGTTCAAAACCTGTTTTGAGCAGTGGAAAAAACAACTTGATCAGTGCTTTGGATCAAACAGAGAGTGCTTGAAGATGACTGAAGCTGGACTATGTGAAAATAAATATATGACTTTTTGTAAACATTTTTGTTTGTTTTTTGGGGTCCCCCCGCCTTATATGCATGACTCCAACTGGAACTCTTCCTATGGGTGCTATCCTCCATATTCCAAAACTCATGTTGCTTTCTCCTAGAGTTAGTGGTTTTAGTTTTGCCTGTCTTTTTCACACCGGAGTAACTAACTAGCTTTAAGATTAGATATTCCTATTTTTAACTGCACTGTCCTCTGTGAGCCTCCTGGAGTTCCCGGGAAGGCTTTCTCTCAGTCCTGCCACAATTGTGCTTCCACACACAAAGCGCCACACACGAAGTGCCTTTGTGTGTGAGGTTGCCCACTTGCTGAAGGAGGTTTTCAAGAGTTGGGTGCAGTCTGTCAACTCGTCCACATGATGTATTTATCGGGCACTTGTGATTCCTCAGCCATGGCTGTCCATGGGTTCTTTAGACCACATCATCCCCCTGATTCACATCTGTTTCTTCAAAGCACTTTTAAGAATGAAGAAAATGGGATAAAATTTCTCTCAGTTGCTTCGACTTCTCCATTCGCACAATTCTGTGATAGCACAACTTCAGCTAGTTGGATTGGAAAAATCTCTCTGTGTCAAGTTCAGATGCCATGAAACCAAAAGTAGAAATAGCAATTAGCAGATTGAATAGAAAACTTCTGTTCTTTTATTGTGTTTAATTATATTTTAATGGATGTGCTTTCGAGTAATGCTTCAATTCAGGTTTTCTTTTTCATCTGCCACTGTTGGCAGGAGGGTGGAATATATGTAAACTAAATACCTACATACATTTAGCTTATCTTTTATTCCAATCAGGGAGTTTTCCTTCCCAGTAGCCCTAGAAAGGCAGAAATATCTAATGAATTATTCTAAGCCTAGGTCCTTGCTCAAACATCCCTTAAATTTCTATTCATCCAAGGTGGGATTGTACGTTAATATGGTGGGTGTTGTTTGCAGATGCAAGCTTGGGACTTACCAATTGTGGGGGAAATCAGCAGGTAGGAGGAGAAGAGCTGAGTCTTCTTTGCCCACTGATTCCATCTGCAACCCCTCTTTATTCCAATCAGGGAGTTTTCCTTCCCAGTAGCCCTAGAAAGGCAGAAATATCTAATGAATTATTCTAAGCCTAGGTCCTTGCTCAAACATCCCTTAAATTTCTATTCATCCAAGGTGGGATTGTACGTTAATATGGTGGGTGTTGTTTGCAGATGCAAGCTTGGGACTTACCAATTGTGGGGGAAATCAGCAGGTAGGAGGAGAAGAGCTGAGTCTTCTTTGCCCACTGATTCCATCTGCAACCCCTCCTCTTTGAGCTTTCATCGTCCCTTGGAGCCGCTGGGAGTGGAGCAGCTCCCAGTGGAATAAAGAGACCAGAGGGCGGAATTTTGATACGATGTTTGCTTTGCAACAGGCAGTTCTCAGAGAAAGAGTTGAACTATAAATGTGAGCTGTACGCATCGTGACTGTCTTGTGAGCTGAACTAAGTTTAAATATTATAAGGGCTAGCCTGGGAATGTCTTACTCTACAGAGAGCTCATGTGCTCCACATGGATGGCAACTTTTTGCCAACTGGCCAACTGGGGGACTTTACAATGCTCCACCTGAGATCTTTGCATGTCTGCATTCATTGCTTTTCTATGTGTTTTTATATGTGCCCAGTTCTACAGTTTTCTTAATTTGCACCCATTTATCCTGACATTCTGTAGTGGAAGTGTGTGGCAACTATTTTTTAAATGACTCTATTCTTCCAAAATTTCTTTAAGCCTGTCTGGTCCTTAAATTTAAAAATAAGCTCAAACCAAACAAAATCCATTCACCTCTTGCGATATCTATTTCACCATTTTCACCCATAAAAGCGAGGCTTAAGGTGAGGCAAGTTTCACCAGAGCTGCAGCCTCTGAGCAAAGAAATCATTGTGGTAATAATGAGAAGCAGGGTCTTTCTGAGCACATACAAAGTGCATTTTCCTCACTTCCAAGGAACTGGAAGCCCCATGCACTTGGAGATGCAGGGGAATGTCTGCATTTTAGAAATGTGACGCTGGCCAGACTCTCCTGTGATTCCCAGACCAGCAGTGAGTCCATGATAAAACTCACACCAGCCAAGCAGACCTGCACGGTATCTTGGCTTACAAAGCGTGATTTATGCACACCTGTCTTTGGTCTGAGTGGGTGGACAAAGGAAAGAAAGACAGAAAGACAGGCAGGCAGGCAGGCAGGCAGGCAGGCAGGCAGGCCCTGATTTCTGGTCAAGGGAATGTTCTCTTAAGAGTCTGTGTGTCCACTTTGTGTGATCAACTTTTAGAAAACCATTTCTGTCACTTTAGAGCTCTCCTGTCTGGGTGTGTGTGTGTGTGCCTAAGTGTGTGCTTGCAATGGCAGTGCTTCAGTGTGTGGCTGTTTCACACATGGCTGAGTCAACTGGGTCCCAACAATTGTATTGCTGTGCATCGCCATCCGTCAAAATGAAAATAATCTTTCCTCTCCCCGCAGATCACCTGCATCGCAGAGACCAGAGACAAAATCCACACTGCTCAGCTAAAAAACACCCTCATAGACCGCTACCCAATGATGACATGGATGGAACGGTGATGAGCACAGCTGACTGAAAAGCTCCAAGATCTTTCATTTATTTTTTCAAGTTTACAGAGAGAAAGCATATTGTTACTGTTGTTCTTATTATTGTTTCCTTCTGTAACGCCATCTGTGCACATGGTGCTTTTGAAACAACAGCTTTGACAGGTCCCTGCCCCAAGGAGCTTACAACCAAACATAGCATGGCAGCCAAGCACTATAACATTGATTAGCTTAAAACCTGCAAAATTGAAAAGTTAGGGAACAGCTATAACTCTTTTAAACAGTTAAAACTCTTTTCAGTAGCTTGCCAAATAAGTATGAATCTCATCTCTCCTTTGTAATGATAATGAATAATCTTACATCTTTTGATTAGCTTAGCGTTTCATAGCATCTGCATGGTTTCAGCTGTACTCCAGCCCCTTCATTTGCATCCACTTTGCATGTATATTTTTTTTCTGTATGAACCCACCTACCTGACTCACCTTTGGCTTTACTTTACCAAGATCCAAGTGAACTTTTACCACAATATAAAATCCTAGAATTCGAGGAAGGGACTTATCCAATTCATAGTAAATATATTTCCTTCCTCTGCATGCCCAGAAGTATTGTGGGTAACGGAAGAGCTTCCCAATGCAGTTTCCTTCACAAACGCTTTGCTTGTTCTATGCCTGCCAAGCTGGAAACATGACTTTCTGCCTTGCAAATAAGTTCACAGAAATGTGTTCTAGCCTTTCTCCCCAAAAATATGTGCTTCCCTCCCCATTTTGTGAACTCTTGCTACAAAAAGGAGGTGCAGGACAGGTGTAGTCCTACCTAAGAAACTGGCCAGGTTTCAGGTAGATTGGTGTAGTGAATCTTGTAGCATGTAAGCACTCCACTGTGGGGCGAACGAGGTTGAAAGCAATTTGCTTCCCCTTCCGTCCTGCTGCATTTTTTGCCATTTGTGCGAAAGGCCGTCCCTCACAGAGACCTGCAGCATCGTGAAAGGTTAGGTGCAGGGACTCAGGAGTCAGAGAAAAGGGCAAATGTTCTCAGGCTCCTTGTTTGTTTTCTACTCACAGAAAGTCATAGAAAGTGCTGTTAGACTGGGGTGGGTCAGGGACAGCGGGGCTGCATGGAAGAAGCAGAACACCTTGGGGGAGGGGGGGTGCGTTGGAGAGCCTGTACTTGCCCCACACAGCAGCCTGTTTCTTGGACCGGGGGGCTCGGAGGGGAAACCAGCTTGCTGCAGCCCCGACACCAGCCTCCCCTTTCCGCTTGCTGCAGGACTTCCACCCCCCCCCCCAGCTGCACAGCTGGTGCTGCATTTTCAAGGGGATGACCCGAGCGGAGGCAGCCTCTTGCTCAGATTGTGGGCAGGTGGGGTAGCGTGACTTTGCCGTGCCTCCCCAGTGGTCCCAAGCCATGCTCTGCCTCCTCCTTGCTGGCCCAGGAGCCCTGCCTGGTCTGGCCTCTGTCCAGGCCCCGGGAGTCATGGACGGCGTGGCCTTCCAAGCAAGCAGTCCCTCCCTGCCTCTCCCACCCACGGAGCGGCCATTGCCAGGGCCCCTCCCTCCTGCCCCCTTCCCTCGAAGAGCCCCCTTTGCTGTGGAAGGGCCTGGATGCCACTACGAGAAACAGCCTCAGAGTCGGGGTGAACCTCCCTCCATGCAGAGCTCCTGCCTGCCTGCCTGCCAGCTAAGAGGGACATGCCCCCGGGGGTCCCTGGGGGACACGGCCCACGATCCCCAGCGCTGGCAGCAACACAGCTCACACGGCAGTGCTTCTTCCCCTGTGGGCTGAAGGGGGGCCACCCCAGAAGCCGGCTGCATGTTGCTGGGCACAGCACACTTCGGTTAAAGACTGGCATGCGTGTGCCCAACGGCTCTCTGCCCCACAGCTCCATGAGTGACACATGAGTGACACACAGAGGGAAACTAGGGAAGGCCAAGCTCGGGATGGAAGGATTTTGTTCAGTCTGTTTAATCAGATTTTTTAAAAGATGCACGAGGATTCATTCCTCTTGTTCTAATGTGCTTTGGTGCAAGTCTTGACACATGTGCCCTCTACACACACACACACAAAGTTAAAAAGTCTCCATATGATGTGGAACGTCCATGCAATGCGGAACAGGTTGGCTACTGCAGAATCCACAATTCAGATTTGTAGAAATCCACTCATTTCTCCGACATCCATAGTCAAAGAGCGAAGAACAGCTCAGTAAAGCCTAACAGGGAATTTAAAAGAATCAACAGATAGAACTCCTAGGCTACCAGGTTGATTGGAACTTAAGCTTCTAGGGTGAAACATAAGGCTACTGATGCTTAAGGCCCTGGCCTGTGAGTCCTATAAAATGTAAAACTTAAGATGTAATACAGCAAAATTAGAAAGAGACTGAGCTGCTAGAGGAAGGATCCGGATTGATTGGTTGCTTGAAAGGAAAAGGGATTAAGGAACTGTTCAGGGGAGTGTTGGTTGGAATATGGAGGAAAGATGAAGAGGCAGGTTTAGAACTGGGCTGGAATCAGAAGTGTTGCAGAGCACAAAACAGCTTTCTGTGAGTAAGTGTGAGGTTTGCTGCCCATTAATGGGTCGATCACAGTTATGTGTGTGTATAAGCAAAATAATTCACACTCAGAGCAATTTTTTAAAAAAATTAAAACTCCTAGACAGGAAGACTCAGCAAAAAAGAACAGTGAATGAACAATAATGATGATGTAGGTAAAAGTGGCTGTCGCTCTAACAGGGCTTAAAAATAACAGTAATAATAAAAGAGAAGAAGCAACATATTTCAAAGTGATAGTGCAATTCTGTGCATTCTGCTGATTCTTAAATCCCATTTTCAATTAATCTTTCTCCCAGGTAAGTAAATATGGGCATGTACTTTAGAGAACCATCTTATGCATGTTTAGGCAAAACAAAAGCCTTACATTTCTGGGCTGTCCCAGCCTGGCATGGTGAGAATTGCAGGATTTTTTCTGTCTAAACATGCATAGGATTGCACCCTTCGAGAACTGCAGGCCATAATGAAAGGAATGGGGTTTGAATGGTAAAAGGGAAGGTTTGTGGGTGAGAAGCTGGGATAAGGCTGGTTTCAGAATGTGGATTTAAAGATAAAGTGTTTGCAAAGGTAGTCAAGCCACAAAAACTCCTCTGTCTCACAACGGAGCCCTTCCAGCTTGGCTCCTCTGAACCAAGAACAGCTCCTCTGGAGCGGCAGACTGCGCTGTTGAGCAAAGGGTTTTATAGGACACAGACCCCACACCACAAATAGTGTGACTGGAAAGCCCTGGATTAATTGTTTCCTGTGATTAGAAAACAGTCCTGTCATCTGCTCATCTTTCCCTGCTGCTCCGGCAGTTTTCATCTGTGGAAAAGTGAAACCAAAGCAGCCCTTCCCTTTTCAGACTGTCTGTCTTTCCACAGCCCTCAAAAATGCCAGGAATTCCTCTTTGCCTTGGGTAGCCTCAGACGCTCTCCGAATCAGCTCGATTCAGGTTGCGATTCAGCCAGATCTTATGCATCTGCCTAGTTATAGTGCTGTAAAACTCCAATATTATTTTTAAAAGAAAGAATGCAACTTTTCAAGTCAGTCATTTTAGCTCTATGGCTTCCCTGGCCTCCCAGTCCAGTTTATTGATTCAGTCCAAGCTCAATGCTAAAACACTTCTTTAATCCGCAGCAACGGGCAATTGTGTTTAAAGAAACAAGTGCTTAAGGTTGAATAAAGTATTGATATTGGCTTATTTTTGAAGGATTGCTCAGCATTTTGTCTTTTTGTGAAGGACCACCCAAGTGAACTGGCATTTCCCCTACATTCAGCAGTTCTAGAATGTGCATTAGGAGAGATAGAACAGAGCGGGATCAACATAAAGGAAAAGTGCAAGGTCCCAAGTGTGTGGAAAGGTAATTGCATCTCCTGCTGTAGAGTAACAGAAGAGTAATGTTTTCCTAATTCTGTCTGGAAGCCTTCAAGGTGATCAGCTAATGGAGAGTCACAGGACCTACAAGACACCTTGTCGATATCTTTGCAAAGCTGCAAAGGGGTTTGCGGATTCCAGACTCTTGCCATCTTTGCGAACTCTTTGCCTCCTGTCCTATTAAAATGAGCACAGAAAGTGAGACTGGCTACAAGAGAAGCTCATGTCCCACGAAGTCATTTCCCACCTTTAGGCAAGCCACCCTTGCTCATGGAGATGAACACGGTTGCAAGGTTAAAGCCATGAAAATCAGCGCTGACCTCGTCCGTAATTCGCTTCTACAAGCCATCCTGCACAAGGCATGTACTCTGCGCTCGCGATTCCTCCCGGTGGTTTGCAAGTGCCAACAATGGTTTGCCAACCACAAGCAAACCACAGTTCATAAGTCAGCATGGATTCTCTCCAGGGCTTGTTTGTGGTGAATCAACCATGGTTTGTTTGCATAGCGTGGTTCAGATAATACAATTAACCATGCTTCAAACACAGCCTACAGTTCAGTGGCAATCCACCCCCAGCCCTTGAGTCTGAGTTACTCTATTACCTGAACCCAGTTAGGACAGCTGAGTTTGGCCCAAGGGTCTGATTCAACATAAAAGTCACTTTTGGTGTGTTCAATGGAACTCTTCCACAGCGCCCAATGACCTGGTCCCCATCGATCAATCAGCTGATAAAGGTAATTGCAACAGACATAAAAATAGACTGGTAAATATCAGCTAGTGGGTGCTTCAGGAAGAGAGGAAGTGAGTCTTAAAGAAATGTCATTAAGAAGTATCTCATTGCCATTAAGAAGGCTTATGTAGATCTCCTTATCCTCAAAGAGCTCAGTAATAGGTTTCTGGTTATGTAATGAGGTCACACTTTCAGGGCAAAGTTGAGCTAGGTCAACCAAGGCTCCAGAGAGAATTTCACAGCTCATCCGGACACACATTTGCAAGGAAATATTAATTGCCCGGCTGAAACTGAGAACACCTCAAGCAAGATTGTTCTAATTCAAGGTACTCATCCATCAACGAAATGCTCATTTTGACTGCCATGTGGGATGGCCCATCACCTTTGTCTGGACCACTGTCTGAACGAGGGTCCAGGAGCCTTCCATCCTGCTTTCTGAATCACAGAACCATAGAATCGTAGGGTTGGAAGCGTCCATGAAGGCCATAGAGTCCAACCTCCTGCTGTTGCAGGACACCAAGTCACAGCATCCCACTCAGGTGGCTGTCCAGTTTCTTTTCGAATGTCTCCAGTGTGGGAGAGCCCACCACCTCTCCAGGCAGCGGGTTCCATTGTTGTATTGCTCTGACAGTGAGGAAGCTTTTCCTGATATCTAGCCTGAACCTGGGTTGATGCAACTTGAATGGATTATTCCGTGTACTACACTCTGGCATCAGCAAGAAGAGATCTTGACCTTCCTCTATGGGACGGCCTTTGAGGTACTTATACAGGGATATAGGTCCCTCCTCTTCTCAAGGCTGAACATGCCCAGTTCTCTCAGCCTCTCCTCATAGGGCAGTGTTTCCAAACATAGATAATTTCTGCTGTCCTCCTCTGGACCCTTTCTAATTTTCCTGCATCTTTCTTAAATCTTGGTGCCCAGAGCTGGACACAGGATTCCAGGTGAGGTCAGACAAGTGACCTCAGTCATGCAAGTACTGGCAAATACCTGCATTTTTTTAAAAATAGTACTTACAGGACTCCCTCTGGGCTGCTTGGTTCTATGCCACTGCTGCCCCCTGTTGGAATGGGGCAGCCTTCTCCTCCTTCTCCTCCTCCTCCTCCTCATTACTCCTGCTTCTTTGCCAGTGCCTAAACTCTCTAAGTGCCCTATTTGCCCAGGGAATAAATCATTACATTATTATAAAAGCACCATTACAATTACACAACTGTTCCACCGCTCCTGATTTGGACTGAATCATCTGTTGTGAATACAGAAGCTGATGCCTTCACTCCTTCCTCATGCTTCTGAAAATATGAAGCACTCAAGGACCAGAGAACCTCCAGAGCCGCTCCTCTATTTTCCAACTTCTTTTGGAGGGGTTTTTTGGACCAAGGAAAGTCTGGTATTAAATCAGGACATACTGGAACGACGGCCTCATGTATTGCTGCAAATCCACTCTTTGCTGATAGTGAAGGTTACAGACATTGAAAGCAGATATTTATAAACTGACAGGCAAACCAGTTTTAAAATGGCCAGCAGGGCAGCATCCTGCCCTGCAGTGATGGGCATCAGGCTAGCTTTCCAGGTACTAGGCAGGATGCGTGCCACACACAGCTCCGTTCCCCAGCGCTTTTCCTTTGCTCCTCGCCCCTCAGTATTTGCCAGCTGTGGTCAATACCTCATTCTAGTCCAGCTTTCTAACCCCTCTCTAGGTTTGCTTGCTAACTTTTCCTCCCTTTACAGGAGCCTTAGCAGCAACCTGTGTGTGCATGTTGGGGAGCGGGGGGGTGGGGGGGATCCCCTCTCCCTTCCACATTTGGCTCCTGGATTGCTGGCGAAAAGGAAAAGCCTGTGTCTCTTTATGCAGGAGAGTTTGTGCAGAACAGGGAGCAGAGGGGAACGGTCTATGTCCTTAGGAGGAGCCACTGAAATACTGGGCTGTACCACTTCCTGGAGGGGTAGAAAACTCAGGAGGAGAAAACCATGTTTTTTCCACTTCAGCCAACCCATCTCACTTCTCACAACCACTTCACATTCGAGGCAGCCCTCCCACGCCGGCCGAGAGCCTGGCACAGGGCACGGCCAACCCCACCCGCTCCCCGGCCACTGTCCTTGGGGCGCTCCTGCCACAATGTGCTGGGTTACTATGGATGAACATGCACCAGATGATGGGAGCTATTTGGGTGGCGATGCAGCAAAGGAATTCTTGATGCACAGCTTCTTCTGCACAATATCTGGGAAGCCAGGAGTCGGGGCCAGGAAAGCAGTGGAGCTGCTTGGTGAACTCTGGATGGTCGGAGCAGGACCCCAAGGGTACCCCGTGCAGCACCCAGGCTTGGACGCCTGAAAGCAAGCTACGGCCTTGCATTTGCAAGAGGTGAGCAGGGCTGTGATGGACAGGCACTCTGGTGGGCCCGCATTCATAGGCCTGCCATTAATGGGAAACAAATTGACTTCCCCTAAGGGCAGCAAACACAACCCTGCAAACAGGGCTACCGGTAGAAGCCTGCTGAGGCTGCTGTCTGCTCCTACTCCTCTTGGGGGCGCCAAAGACTCACGTGTAAGCGCTTGGGAAACCTGAGCGGTGGAAAAGATGCAACCCGCTGTTCGGTCCGCAAACAAGACGCTTCGGCAGAAATCACAGACGTGAGCAGGGAGTCTGACTCCGCTCCCCCGGCCTAAAAAGCCCCCCCCCCACCGCTCATTTGAGCCAAGCTCAGTTAAAGTGAAACAATCCAATTTAAAACTCAGCCTCATCCACTGGTCTCTGGTTGATTCATTTCTAGAACACGATCTGGGTTGTGTTTGTTGTTGCAATCGTTGTTGCAATTATTGTTCCACCCCTGCTTGGAAGTCCGCACTTGGTCTGGCAACGCCAATAATGCAAATCTGCATCGGAAGTGCGGAAATTCAGATCCAATTCGTGCCGGAGGCTAAAAGGTGTCCATCGAATAGGTTGCCAGGGCTCGTTTCCTTGCCGTTAGTGAATGAGATCGCAACCTCCCAATTTTACCGGTTCTTGCTCTGAGCTGGGACTCCTGCTGCGCCCGTGCGTGGGGCATCCTTTAGCCTAGGGCCTGGATTACCTTTGAAAGCCCGGGACACGCGAGCCAGATGCGGGGCGGGGGTGGGGGAGTCTGGCGTACTTTAACGTAAAAGTTCTTCCTTGGGGGAAGCACGTCCGCCCTGGCAGAGGCGGGGAAACGCCGAACCCAGCGCTGGCAAGAAGCGGAGGGAAGTGATGGGTTGGGAGGCGCGGGGGATCGGGGCCCCTCCTCGCTGGGCTGCTGCCCTCCATCGCCCCCGCTGCCAGGGCGAGAGGAGAGCCAGAGGCTGCTCCTGGACACGTGTGTCTGCCTGCCTTCTCCAGTGGCGCAGGTGCTGCTCCCTCCGCCGCCCAGGCCCACGCCTGGCTCCAGCTCAGCCCATCTGGGAGAGCTGAAGGGGGCTCGGCCTCTCCCCGCCGGAGCACCGGCTGGCGTCCCAAGCGGGAGAAGCCGAGCCCGGCCTCGCCCCGAGGCCGGCCCTCCCTGCAGGGCTTTCTGCGGCCGCTCGGCCCTGCAGCATCTCAGGGGCACCCGAGCGATGCCCATGCGCCCCTGCTCGTTCCAGGGTGTCGCCGCCTCCTTCCAAGCAAATCTGACCCATTGGAGGGATCCGTGTGTTGCGTGTGTGCGCGCACGTCCGCTGCCTCCTTAGAAGAGGTTGCTGCCACAATCCCAAGTGGGTCTCCTTAGAAGCAGGAGCAACTGCAGGACGTACTCCTTCGTAGCCCAATAGGAGGGAGGCTGGAGAAAGGGGCAGGGGGCTGCAGGTGAAGGCCCTGCACGAAAGGCAGGATTCTGGGACGCGGATAATCACGGGCAAAGCAGCGAAGTAATGAACGGTGCCTCTAAATATATCAGAACCTCCCTCCTTTATTTATGCATAACGCATTTCAGTCCCAATTAGATACTGTTCCCACCAGGTGTTCCATCGGAAAAGGGTGCGCCAAGTCACAGAGCTTTATTTCACATTTCAAATTAACACACACACACACACACACGATCCTTTTCTTTTTTAAAAAATACATATTTTATTCATTTTCACACGATCCTTTTCTATATCAAAATGGTGCTTACTCTT